GAAGTGAATCTGATGAGGAGCATGCATAAACTGGCTAACTACATTGACAGCAACAATAATATTTGGACGGGAGTGAGATAGGTAAATAAGCTTATGCACTAATCATTGATAGCTCCCCTTATCAACAGCTGCTCCTCTTTCATTATCCCGCAGTTTTTGATTGGGTTCCAATGGAGTGTCACAGGCCTGCAGCCAAGCATCCCAGTTTCCTTCAACAGATTAAGCACATACTTCCTCTGTGAGATAAATATCCTATCCTTGGAGCGAGTAACTTCAATTCTCAGAAAATATTTCAAGCTCCCCAAGTCTTTGATTTCAAACTCACTGGCTAAATATTTCTTCAACAGAGGAATTTTCTCGCTATCATCGCCCGTGAGGACTATGTCATCTACATAAACAATGAGTGTTGTAGTCTTATCACTTGAGGAGTGTTTCACAAACAAGGTGTGATCTGCTTGACTCGGTTTGAAGCCATATTTAAGCATAGCCTGAGTGAATCTCTCAAACCAAGTCCTTGGAGACTGTTTGAGACCATATAATGATTTCCGAAGCCTGCATACTTTGCCTTATATCTGATAATCCTCAAAACTAGGAGGAATGTCCATACATATCTCTTTTTCGAGGTCACCATGGAGAAGGCATTCTTTACATCAAATTGATGAAGTGGCCAATCTAGATTAGCTGCTAGAGAGAGAAGCACTCTGACTGAATTCATCTTAGCCACGGGTACAAAGGTTTCCTGATAGTCAACGCCATATGTTTGAGTGAACCTTTTTGCCACAAGTCTAGCCTTGTAACGCTCAATAGAACCATTCGTTTTGTGTTTCACAGTATACATCCATTTGCATCTCACAGGTCGTTTGCCCTTATGTAACTCAGTCAATTCCCAGGTGCCATTCTTCCTAAGTGCTTTCATTTCCTTAATCATGGCAAATTTCTACTCAGAGACAGTAAGAGCATCCTGAAAATGGTTAGGAATGTTAACAGAGGAAATATTTGACACAAACGCTCTACATGAGGACGACAAATTAGAGTTGGACACAAAATTTGAGATAGGATGTTGAGTAAAAGATCTCACACCCTTTCTCTTGGCAATAGGAACATCAAGATCAATGGACTCAAGAGATTCAAAGTTACTTGGACTCTCATCAGAAGCAATAGATGGCAGTGGAGGAGCATAAGTGGTCTCTAGTATCCAATTAACTTTCTGTCGGTCTTTGTCCCTAACATAAACTTGCCCTTCCTTATCCTTGGTGACATTGGGTTTTGTAGTCTCAATAGGAGGTGGTGGTGCTGCAAGAGCCACTGGTTCCACCATAGGAATCACAAGAATCACTTGACACCAAGGCTTCCCCTGAAAGGAGGACTGTGACACCGGAGAGGACAAAAAATAAGACTGAGACTCAAAGAATGTGACATCTATGGACACAAACCACTTACGAGGAGGGTGGTAACACTTATACCATTTTTGAGTAGGAGAGTACCCAAGGAAAACACACTTGTGGGAGTGAGGGTCCAACTAACCACGAGTAGGAGAGTGATTATGAACAAAACAGACGTAACCAAATATGTTGGGAGGAATAAAAAACAAGGACGGGGAATTTAGGAGAACTTGAAGAGGAGCTTGTTTTTGCAAGACCTGGGTAGGAAGATGATTAATAAGATGGACAGCGGTGAGAAAAACATCGCCCCAGTAGGACTGAGGTACTCACATAGAAAAACATATGCACCGAGCTATGTCAAGAAGATGGCGATTCTTGCGTTCCGCCACCCCATTTTGTTGAAGGGTATTGGTGCAAGAGGTCTGATGGATAATGTCATGAGTAGAAAAATATTGCCCTAACCCAGAATCTATGTATTCACCCCGATTATCAGAACGTAATATTTTGACAGTGGCCCTAAACTGGGTACAAATCATTTTATGAAAATTGCGGAACACAGAGAAAACCTCACTCTTGTCTTTTATGAGATACACCCAAGTAGTATGAGAAAAATCATCAATAAATGTAAGAAACCAGCGATGACCTTTCACAGACATAACACGAGATAGACCCCAGACATCAGAATGTATTAATAAAAAAGGAACTAAACTTTTATTAAAACTGGGAGCAAAAGAGGCTTTGTGTTGTTTTCTGAGTTGACAAGACTCAAAGAAATTCAGACACATTATTGTGTGAAAAAACAGATGGAAATAAATGCTTAAGTAAATAAAAAGAATGACGTCTAAGATGCTGATGCCACAACCATATATCATCGGTGGTAGGACTCGTGGTGGAAGAATGAGCAAGCTTGTTCGGTTAATCTAGGAAGTAGAGACCATTTTCTGCACTACCACTACCAATTGTTGTCCTCGTGACAAGGTCTTGGAAAAGACAATGATCAGGAAAAAAACGTCACTACAATTCAAATCCTGGGAAACACGACTTAAGGATAACAGGTTAACAGAAAAATTGGGAACATGGAGAACAGAAGATAGAGGTATGGTAAGAGTGACATGGACTACACCTTTCCCAGAAATGAAAGAAACAGTACCATTTGCAATCCTAACTTTGTCCTGACCTAAAGAGGGTTTATAGGCAGAGAAAAGATCAGTGGATCCAAACATATGATCTGAGGCACCAGAATCAATAATCCAGGGCAACGACTTATGAGACAAGAAACACGAGGAGAAGAGACTAAGTTACTTGAGCGGGCAAACGAAGAGGAAGATGTACTGAGAGCAGTAGAAGACCGTCGGTCCAGCAAGTGACGTAGAACATTCTCAAGCTCAGGAGTAGTCATGCCATAGAGACCATCAGAAGCCTGGCCAACGGAAGCGGAAGTAACATCAAGTGGAACAACGACACTAGACCGATGAGCCCGTAGATGGGAGCCACGTCTTCGAGGCTGGCCTGACCGTCCTCTAGAACCAAACCAATCACCTCGACCCCCAGATGGAGGCCCATTAAGCTTCCGACACGTTTCACGAGTATGCCGCAGTTTTTTACAGGAATCACAGAATAAAGACTCCTTGGCGGCAAACAGAGAAATGAGAGTCAGGCAGAGGCCATCTCGAGGGTTAGATAGTAATGTTGAGTGGTCAGTAGAGACAGGGGACATCATAGTAGACCGGCGACTCTCCTTATTCTGTTCATAGGCAAATGCCTCCTGAAGTGAAGGAAGAGTGTACATACCCAGAACTCAACTCTTAATCGGATCATACTCCACATTGAGGCTTGCCAGAAACTTGAAGATTCGTTCCTGTGCGATGAACTTCCTGTACCTGACTGAATTAGCAGTGTAAACAGGCTTATAGTCCTGTAGGTGATCAAGGCGTTTCCAGTCGTTGGTGAGGAAGGTGAAGTACTGAAGAACCGTTCGCTCCCCCTGAACAGAGCTCTCAATAGAGTGGCGTAACTCAAATGCTTGTGAGAAATTCCCTTTGCGGGAATAGGTGGTAGCCACAACATCCCAAACATCCTCTGCAGTCTCTATAGATAAGTAGCCCTCGCTAATGTTTGTACCATTGAATGAATAAGCCAACCCATAATCAAAGAGTTGGTAATCTCCCATTGGTTATAACTTGGGTTAGTTGTGCTGGGTGCTTGTATACTGCTATTCATATACCCCATCTTCCCTCTGCTCTTCAAAAACATAGTCAAACTCTGCGACCACGCGAGATAGTTTTGACCATTAAATAGAGAGGTAGTGATTTTAAGACTAGGGTTGGGGTTATCCGTCATAGTAGTAGGTATAGGGAAACTCACTCCTAGGTGTCTGAGAAATAGTGGACACACCGGTGGAATCTGTCATAAGTACTGTATTACTGAACCCGCAACAAAACTAGTGCCAATTACAAATTCGGTGGATGGTGGTGGAAGGGAAAAACAAACACAACGACCACTAGGACAGTATAAAGAGTGAACAACTCATATATATAGATATATTTTTTTTTTTTTCTGTTTTTTTTTTTTTTAATTTTTAATTTTTTTTTTAAGAAAAGAAAAAAAAGAATAACTCAAGAAAGAGAGACAGTTAGAGGAAGACGACAAAGAACCAGAGGCAGTCGGCTAAAGACAACAGAGGAAGGCGATGAAGAACTAGAAGTAGGTGGCACATGAGTCGAGTAGGGGGAGAGACGAGGTAGTCGTTTGAAGCCAACGAAGGCTTAGGAGCTGTCGCCTGGGTCATCCAGTGGTCGACAAAGCCAATGAAGATGATCTAAGGGTGATTCAGTGGTCCACGTTCATCGCACCCAGTGATTTTCAAATCCTAGGTGAGCCGAAATCCCTCAGGTTTGAGGTGGCTTGAGCCGAAACCCCTTAGGCTGTCTGCTGAAGTGGGTTGTCTCCGGCGGTGGTTAGTGGCTCCGATGGTTACTGTATGGGTAGATGGGTTTAGGTTTTAGGGTTAGGTTGAGATACCATGATAAATTTAGAAAATACAAGATTAGGGAATGATTAGGATATCATCTCCTATTTATATTAATGAAGATTAATAATTACAAAGGAGCCCTAAGGCATAGAATAATTACAAAATAATAACTCAAATAATATTATTCTTACACTTTTAGCCCTCCAGCTACTTATACTGCATTTGCTTCGGCTCCATATCCCGATTTAGCTTTCTTGTGTGTTTCAAATTGTTTAGCTTTAGCATATTTTGTCTACCTCCCAACCATCCTCATCTACTTTCACTCTCACTTCTCTTCATTCAGGTTTGCTTGGTTCTTTTTCAAGTATTTCTTATTCAGTTTGGATTTTTGACTCTAGTGCTTCTCATCATATGATTCCCCGTCTCTCCTTCATAATTGTCATTCTTCCCCTTTTACTATTACTGTTAACACTGCCAATGGGTAATAGGAAAGGTATGTTTGTCCTATTTGTTTGGTCTGCTCTGCAATGTCTATTGCCACTATACCATCTGTCCTTTATGTTCCTCAGTTATCTGTTAGTTTACTCTCTATTAGTCAACTTGATGCTTTCGATTATGATGTTATCTTTTATTCTTTTGTCTGTTAGGTGCAGGAGCGACAATCCAAGAAGCAAATTGGGACCGGTCGTAGAGTTGGAGACCTCTATGTGGTGGGAAGTTTGTATCTTCCTCTGTCTACCTCTCCAATTGCTTTTTCATCCTTTCAGTTAGATCCTCAATCGAGTCTTTTTTATTTATGGCATTCCAATTAGGTCATTTGTTTGTTGACCGTTTACGGTCGTTAGCTCAGTTAGAGGGGTGTAAACTTGCCAAGATGACAGCTTTACCATTTAATAAAAATACTCCTATTTTTTTTACCACCCTATTTTTGTTACCCCATTTTCTCTTGTACATACTGATGTCTAGGAACCCTATCATGTTCTCACTAAAAGGGGCTCTGCTTACTATGTTTCTTTTGTCGATGATTGCACTTGCTATACTTGGGTTTACTTTATGACTCGTAAATCAGACTTGTACTAGATATACCGTACTTTTCAGTCTATGGTCACTACACAATTTGGGTCTACTATTAAGTTGTTATGTTCTGACTTGGGTGGGGAATATTTTAAAACTCAGTTCTGAGTATTTGGCCTCATGGGTACCATTCACCAAACGTCTTGTACTAATACGCCGGCTCAACATAGTCGAGCTGAACATAAACACTGTCAACCTCCTTGAAACCGCTAGGCCTCTTCTTCTCTCTGCCTTTGTTTCGGCTCTGTTTTGGGGGGAAGTAGTTCTTACTACTATTTTTTTTCTCAACCGTATGTTTACTTCTTTCTGGTTGGTCCCCTTATAAGGCTTTGTTTTCTCAACTTCCCAATTATTTCCTCTTTCGTATTTTTGGATTTGCTTGTTTTGTACTTCTTTCCCAAAAAGATAGGACCAAACTTAGTGCCCGATCTGTCTTGTTTGCCTTTTTGAGTTGCTGTCTTACTCAAAAAGGCTATCGCTGTTACGATCCTGTTTCTTATCGCCTTTACGTCTCCTGCCATGTTGCTTTTCTTAAACGTCTGTCTTACTTTCATCTTCTTCCTATCACTGCTCCGGTTTCCAAAGAGAATTTGGTTCGCATTGGTCCATTTCCCTCTGAGATCCCTCCTGATGAGTACATCTCTACTGTTTCCCTTGAGTTTATTCCTTCTTCTTCTTCTTCTTCTACTATCCCTCATGTTGAGTCCCTTCTTACTGAACCCCATGAGTTTGTTTCCTTTTATCTTTCCTCTTCTCTTTTTGCACCCCCTCCTACTTCGTCGTCTCCTCTGTTGTTACTCTATTCTCGTCGCAAGGCTCTCCGTTCACTAGTTGTCTCTGCCCCTGTTGTTGATCCCCTTACTTCTAACGACTCTGATCTTGCCCATTGTAAGTATTCCCTTCGCAACGGTAAACATGTAGTCAAACTTGGTTTTTTTAAAACATATTTTTCTCCTTTATATTGCACATTTTTGTATTTTATTCACTTTTTTTCAAAACCCCAGTCTTACAAGGAGGCTTGTCAGGATCCTAATTGGATTCAAGCTATGGAAGATGAGTTGTCTGTATTGTAGAAAACTACTATTTGGGAGCTGGTTCCTTTGCTTGCTAGTACGAATTTGGTTGGTTGCAAATGGGTCTATAAAGTCAAGACTCATTTTGATGGTTCTCTCGAGCACTACAAAGCTTGACTAGTTGCTAAAGGTTTCTTCCAGGAGTATGGTATTGATTATGAGGAGACTTTTGCCCCTGTTGCTAAGATGACTACTGTCCGCACTTTGATCTCTGTCGTTGCTGTTTGTCATTGGCCTCTTTATCGGATGGATGTTAAGAATGCTTTTCTGAATGGCCATCTCACTGAGGAGTTTTACATGCATCCTTCTCCTGGCCTTCCTTATTCCTTTGGACAAGTTTGTTAACTTCGATGTGCTTTGTATGGTTTGAAGCAATCTCGTCGTGCTTGGTGTGATCGTTTTCAGACACTATTACTGAGTTTGGATTTCATCGTTGTGCCCATGACTCTTCTTTTTTTCTCCTCCACACCTCTACTGGTTTTGTTGCCCTCTTACTGTACGTGAATGATATGATTATCACTGGTTCTAACTCTTCTGCTATCTCTGAGGTCAAGCAGCATCTCTTCCACACTTTCGAAATGAAGGATTTGGGCCCATTGCGATATTTTTTTGGCATTGAGGTAGCTTCTTCTCTCAAGGGTTACTTTCTGTCTCAGGTCAAGTATGCCAACGAGGTTATTCATCGTATCGCTCTTACTGACACTAAGCTTTCTGATACCCCCATTGAGCTTAATGTGAAGCTCAACACTACTGATGGTGTTCCTTTGGAAGATCCTACTTTATATCGAAAGCTTGTTGGTTGCTTAGTTTATCTGACAGTTACTTGTCTTGATCTTGCCTATGCTGCCTATGTGGTTAGTGAATACGTTTTTGCTCTTTGCTGTACACGTTAGGCTGCTTTGATTTTGATTTTTCGCTATTTTCGCAGTACTATTTTTCAAGGCTTGCTCTTTATCTTCTATGTTTTCCTTGGATTTGGTGGCTTATGCTGATTGGGCTGGTGATGTTAATGATCGCAAGTTTACTTATGGTTTTTGTATGTTTCTTGGCAATTCCCTGATTTCTTGGAAAAACAAGAAGCAAACTGTTGTTGCTTGTTTTATTGCCAAAGCTGAGTATCGTGCTATGGCTCATGCTACTGCTGAAATTATCTAGCTTTGTAGTCTTTTATTTGACTTTGGCGTCCTTTAGTCTTCTTTGATCTCTCTCTATTGTGACAATCGAAGTACTATTCAGATTGCCCATAACACTGCCTTTCATGAACGGATGAAGCACATTGAGATTGATTATCACTTTGTCCGACAACATCTGCAATCTGTCTTTATCTTGCTTTCATTTGTTACTTCGACTCTGCAATTTGCTGACTTCTTTAAGAAGACTGACACCATTGCTCGGTTTCGATTTCTTCTTAACAAACTTTTAGTGTTTTCTGCTAAAACACCTTGAGTTGGAGCGGGGGTGTAAGAATATATTTGCCTATATTGTCTATATTTTTAGGAATTATTGTATTTTAGGAATTTGGAATGGTTGTGATTATTTAAATATTCTATGTAGTTTGTATTTCTTTTTAGGCTTAGGGATTAGAGTTCTATATAAGTAATGTATTCCTTGTATTAATTATTCAGTTGAATATATAGAAATATTCAGAAACTTACACTTCTTGCCATGGAAAGCTCATGCAACTTTTTGCAATTTTAGTCATTGTAAACAAGTTTCATTCCAGATTTCTGCTATCCTTTTTTGTTTTGGACATATATGTTTCTTTGGTTGGTTTTTCATCAGAAGGCCAAATTAACTTAATATTACAAATATTGATACACGTTGTTTGTTTGGACTATTTGTTGGCATAACATTTTAGATTTTTGAGTTCAAGATGGGCAAGGTAATATTTTGCTGTTGATGTGGGACATATGACTAGTAGAAATTAGTGTAAATTACACTTTGGATCCCTGCACTTTGCACCGAATTTCACTTTGGCCCCTACACTGGAAATCATGGCAGTCAACTCCCTGCATTTCTGGTCAAATTCCACTTTGGTTGTGGCAGTCAATGCCCTGTATTTTTGGGCAAATCTTAGTTTGGTCCCTAAATAAGTGTCAATGTTCCCTCTCTGTTACTCAATTGTTTAAATCTTTAACAAAATCTAATCATGTGACAAGAATGTGACTATGACATGAGGGTAAGAGAGGAAAATTATTTACATTTTCCACCAATACACACTTTGTTCCAAAATTTAAATTATGATCATAATCTGGGTTTCTATCTAATGATTTTGTTTGGTTACCTACTTTCCAAAATCACTCTCTCTCTCTCTCTCTCATACACGTCAAATCAATCACTTTTTTTAAAACTCTCTCCCCAACACAATTTTTCAAAACCATTTCTAAAAAAAGGCAAACCAAACAAATTTTCGTACTTTTTATCTCAAAAACTACTCTACAAACACAAACCAAACACACCCATTGTATTTTAGGAATTTGGAATGGTTGTGATTATTTGAATATTCTATGTAGTTTGTATTTCCTTTTTAGGCTTAGGGATTAGAGTTCTGTATAAGTGATGTATTCTTTCTATCGATTATTCAGTTGAATATGTAGAAATATTCAAAAACTTACACTTCTTGCCATGGAAAGCTCATGCAACTTTTTGCAATATTAGTCATTGTAAACAAGTTTCATTCCAGATTTCTGCTATCCTTTTTTGTTTTGGACATATATGTTTCTTTGGTTGGTTTTTCATCAGAAGGCCAAATTAACTTAATATTACAAATATTGATACACGTTGTTTGTTTGGACTATTTGTTGGCATAACATTTTAGATTTTTGAGTTCAAGATGGGCAAGGTAATATTTTGCTGTTGATGTGGGACATATGACTAGTAGAAATTAGGGTAAATTACACTTTGGATCCCTGCACTTTGCACCAAATTTTACTTTGGCCCCTACACTTGAAATCATGGCAGTCAACTCCCTGCATTTCTGGTCAAATTCCACTTTGGTTGTGGCAGTCATCGCCCTGTATTTTTGGGCAAATCTTAGTTTGATCCCTAAATAAGTGTCAATGTTTCCTTTCTGTTACTCAATTGTTTAAATTTTTAACAGAATCTAATCATGTGACAAGAATGTGACTATGACATGAGGGTAAGAGAGAAAAATCATCTACATTTTCTACCAATACACATTTTGTTCCAAAATTTACATTAAATTATGACCGTATTAAGTTAAAACAAAATGCAGATTATGATCAATTAAGAAGATGAGCTAGGGTTTTGCATAAATTGGAATCACGAAACTCTGTTTTTTATGGTAACACAATCTTTTGTCTATTCATCGCTTTTGTCTTTGATTCTTTGTCGCATTTTTTTTTATTATTTTAAAAATTCTATTTTCTAGCCTCTTCGTTTCAATTTTTAGCATACGAACATATATATATATATATGCATGTAGGGGTGTGCGCAGTGCGGGTCGGTGCGGTTTGAGAGAAAAATAGAAACCGTACGGCGGGTGGCGGATTGATAAAAGTGTCACTAGAATTTGCCATTTTCCTTATCAAAAACCAACGGTTCGGTTGGCAAATAATGGCGGATTTGCCTTAGCGGTTCGGGCGGATTGGCGGTTTATAAAAAAATATAATTCAAATTACAAAACTTAAATCAAAGAGTAAAAAAAAGACGAGAGATACCGTGACATTAAGCATCTTGTGAAGTTTTCTTCTGATGCAGCAGGTGTAGCAACAACATAATAGTATCAACGACTATGCCATCAGTTCATTACAAGCATCTGTGAAAGCTACAATGGTCAAATACAATACATAAAATTCCCCTCGAGCAGTAATGTAATACTATATTCTAAGGTATGAAACAACAAGCAAACTTAAGTAAAAAAGAATTTTTAGAATCTTATAAAACATGATTTAATAGCGGTGCGGGTCGGTGCGGTTTGGAAGAAAAATAGAAACCGGCGGATTGATAAAAGTGTCACTAGAATTTGCCATTTTTCTTACCAAAAACCGGCGGTTCAATTGGCAAATAATAACGAATTTGCCTTGGTGGTGCGGTTCGGTGCGGTTTTGGCGGTTTCGGCGGTTTTGGCGGTATTATGCACACCCCTATATGCATGTATGTATATTGTATTATATAACTCTAATGTGCTTATCACGTGGGACAAAGTGTATTGGTGGGAAATATGGATGATTTTTCTCTCTTACCCTTGTTTTGTAGTCACATTTTTTGTTATATGATTGGATTTTGTTAAAGATTTACAAATGAAGCAATAGAAGAAAGAAATTGACACTTTTGTAGGGATCAAAGTGAGATTTGAGCAAAAGTACGGGGGGTTGACTGTCACAATTTCATGTATAGGGTTCAAAGTGAGATTTGGTCAGAAGTGTTGGGGATTGACTATTATGATTTCATGTACATGAGTCAAAGTGAGATTTGATACAAAGTGTAGGGGTGCAAAGTGTAACTTACCCTAGAAATTATTAAAAACATGGATATATGGGAGCATAAAAATGTAGAAAAACCTAGTTGTAGTGGTTGTTCGTCTACTTCGACTTTACCTTTTGAGATATGATGTTTATGGTCTATTTACATGATCGAGCTTTGTACTCATGGATGAATTTGGTAGCTCAAGTAGTTCTCAACTTCTGATGCTAACTGGTGTTTTGATGTTGCTGAATTTTGATTTCTGTAGTTTGCTGGATATGTGGTATTAGCTGACCCCATTTAATTATGTTTTGTTTATTTCAGATTGTTCGAAGAACTCGGAGACGGAAGTGAGTTATTTTTTCATTTTGTAAATGCAGCAGAAATCTGTACCGTCTCTGGGCCAGACATCCTGACATGTAGAATAAAATTATATTTGGGTTTCTATCTAATGATTTTGTTTAAGATGACATGCAAAACTTAGAATGAAATTGTCATTTGCTTGTTTGATGGGTAATTTAGTGTTCAGTTTTCTACCAACACGTGGACACCTGCTGGGAGAAGCCTCTTTGCGATTCTCTGTACTCCAAAGAATACTTAAGGTGAGTTCTGCTTTGACTGTTTGGCACTTGGGAGGGTTTTGATATCATTTGTGTATGGAAAAGAACCTTTGGCAGAAAAAAGAAATTGTGTTGCAAAGATGCTCAAGCTAAATGATGAATTCTGTGTCAACAAATTCTTGCTACTGTTTTATGACAACTCTTTGGACAACAATTGATTTATATTAGATTAGTATTTACTGTCTGTACCAGATCAGAATGTGATCTATGTGTGTACACATATATTTGTTTTTTTGTTTTTGTTTTTATTTTTTTTCTTTTATGTTTTTGGGTTTGGGTGTGGGTGACTTTTTGGTTCCATCACTAAATAATGAGTTTATAATATATTAATATTTGGTTGCATCATATTCATGGGTCAAAGTTAGGTTGAGACCACTACATTATTAGAAGAGAGTTGTTAAAATCTAGATATAGGTGTGGCAATAGTCATTTGTAGCTATATTATGGCCCACATAAGATTAGTAGTCTGTTTGACTTTGTCTAGTGAAAGATGTAGGGATTGAAGGAAGAACTTGTGTGTGTTGCCTTTTCTTGTTAAGTTATTGAATTATATAATTTTAATTTTAATTTTAATTTTGTTCCTTTATTGATTCAATTCTTTTATTTCAATTTGGTCAAGGTTAATGTACTTCATCAAACTGCAAAATTACAATTTTGATATTCGATAAATGATCAACTAAGTACAGTTTAAAATTTATTTTTATTACGCATTAGTACCTTTGTTAGACGAATAAGTGGAACAGCAAGAGTAGAGCAGCAAGGCAAGGCATGTAGAATAGTCTAAAGTTGGGAACGTCTATTTATTTTATATGTTGAGATAAAAATGCAGAATTACCGAGTTGTATTCTTAGTTAATGGTATCATAAAATATTTTGTGATTCTTTATTAGTTGAGAGTATCACATAAATAATATTATATGATATTTTGAAGCTAGTTAATAATTTTTTTAAAATTATAAAGGGTCCTAATAAGTTGAGTAACAATACAACAATAATGAGGTGGTGGCAATGAGAGGAGACCCATTTCCAACTTTGGGTCCATGATGTGAACTTGACCTTAAGCCAACCAAAATGGAAACAGCCCTTTCTTTGTCCATGTGACCCTTAGTTTGTTTGTTTACATCACTTTTTCCACCCACTTGCTAGCTAGCTAGCTTCTTCATGGTGAGAAATTTTAGAATGCATATTTTAAAAAAAATGTACCATATATTTGAGTTATGTTTTTTTGATAGTATTTGACTATGATCGATTGTTGTGGTAGTCATGACTTATTGTTATTATTTTGATTATAGTAAAAAAAAAAAGTTTCAACTCATCAAATTTATATTAATGATTAATTAGATTGGATCAGACCGGATCCTGGACAATTCAACCCAAATCTGGTCTGTTGACAGGCCTCAAATCCGGCCTGTTGACAGGCCTAAGCTGACTGCGAACTGCCCAATAGTACCATTTTATTGTCTTGTTTTGTTTTTTATTTTTTATTTTTTATTTTGGTTTGCTTGCTCATTTGAAGAAAAAATAGTGCACCTAATATATTTATTTATTTATTAAAAATTTGAAAAAAAAAATTAGCACGGTGATGGTCTATTCCTACAAGAAAAATTGCCCTCAATACACATACAGCCAAAAATTCAATTTAGAAAAAAATATCTATACAATAAATTGTACAGTGTAGATTCAAATTTGATTTGGTGTGAATTATACTGGGAACAAATTTGCTCGACATTTTTTTTTTGTGTGTAGACTTTAAAAAAATTATATTAGAATAAAATAAACATTGAGGCCTTGTTTGGAAAAATATGTTAAAATATTTAATAAGATAAAATGTTCCATTTAATTCTTAATTATTTCTTTTTTTTTTTCACAGTTATCAAATTAATTACAAAAAAAAGTCTACTAACTTTTCATATATAATTTTTTTAGTCAAGTTAAAATAGCTAAAAAATTAAATAGGTAACTAAAATAGTCAACTTTTCAATTATTTATTTTTTTTCACAGTTATCAAATTAATTACCAAAAAAAGTCAACTAACTTTTCATATATAATTTTTTTAGTCAAGTTAAAATAGCTAAAAAATTAAATAGGTAACTAAAATAGTCAACTTTTCAAACAAGGCCTGAGTTTTAATAATCTTAAGTCTTCTAACAAAATAAAAATTGAGTTTTCAATTTGTCAACTTGAATCTTAATTTTTTTGATTTGTTTTTATTTTAAATAATTTGCTTATTTTTATTAAGTAAAATTAACAAAAAATTTTTTTTTTTTTAGCTAACTCAATGTAGATTTACACTTTTTTTTTGTTGTTTTTTTGGGAGAACATGAAAGGGAGTTATATTAAAATAAAACAAACAATATATATACATCAAAAAGAAAAAAAACAAGACTTTAAAGGGACAACCAAACAACAAACTACAAAAATAGGCAAATGATTAAAAAATATAAATATCTTAATTGATTTTACTTAATAAAAATAGACAAATGGTTTAAATTAAAAATAAATAAAAAATTTAGGGTTTTTTTGTTATAAAATTCAAACTTTGTAGTGTTTTTTTATTATTTTTTTATTTTTAATTTCTCCTCGAATATAGAACATTGGTGATATATTTATGGGAGACTTACTTGTAGATCTTAGTAGGTAGATTTATTGTCTAATAGGTCTTATGAGAATTAATGATATTTTTCATCAAATATTATTAAAAAGCGTCACTATCTGTTAATTTTCAGTGATAATCTAAATTTTTTATCACAAAAAAGTCACTAATTTTTAACTTTCAGCAACAGTTTGAAAAAGCCATCACAAAAAAAGTAACTAATTATAAATTTTAGTGAGAATTTATAAAAATCATAACAAAAAAAATTATTAATTGTGAATTTTTAGAGACATGTAAAAAATCATCACAAAAAATTATTTTTAGTAACAATTTTACTGGAACTTATCTTCAATAGGATTTGATGGGAATTAAATCCAACTATTAGGACCTATTAGTAGTTACCCTATATTTATATGCTTTATTATTATTATTATTATTATTATTATTATTATTATTATTATTATTTTGGGGTTTGGGTAGAAAGTTTGTTTAGATTATTTTTTAACCAATTGGTAAAACAAAATTCTAGAGAAAATTTAAGGTGAATAAGGGAAGTGAATGTTGTTAGAAGAAAATTTAGGAAAGTCATCAATGGAGTACAATTAGTACAAGAAGGATAGAGAAAACAAAAAAAAAAAAAGTCAAATTATGTAATGGTGAAACTCAAATCAAACATCACGACTAAAGGGTGTTTGGGAATTTGGTTTTTTTGACTATAAACAAAAGAAGCAAATCATTAATATTTTGATGCAATTAAAAAAAAAAGAAGTTATTTCTAAACACATTAATATTTTTTTTCATCTCATTAAAAATTAAAAAATCACAAAAAAAAAAAAATCAATTTTCAAATCAGGATCTCGTACAAAGCAAATCCTTGATCTACATAAAATTAGGAAGTCACCAATGGAGGAATATTTCAATTCACCGATACCTCTCGTTTAACCACCCAAAGGAGTGGCAAAGATTGCAATTCAAAAATTGGTCCAAACATAGGAACTTCATTTTTCTTTTCATACAATATTGTATAAAGTCAACAAACTATAAACAAAAGAAGCAAATCATTAATATTTTGATGCAATTAAAAAAAAAAGAAGTTATTTCTAAACGCATTAATATTTTTTTTCATCTCATTAAAAATTAAAAAATCACAAAAAAAAAAAAATCAATTTTCAAATCAGGATCTCGTACAAAGCAAATCCTTGATCTACATAAGTTTAGGAAGTCACCAATGGAGGAATATTTCAATTCACCTATACCTCTCGTTTAACCACCCAAAGGAGTGGCGAAGATTGCAGTTCAAAAATTGGTCCAAACATAGGAACTTCATTTTTCTTTTCAAACAATATTGTATAAAGTCAACAAATTAAGAAATTAGGAAATGGCCCAATTAGTACAATGTCTCTAGAAGCATGGCTATTCAAAACATTATGAGTAAAAATATAAAAATTAAAAAATATATATAAAAGAAAATATAGAGTAATATGACTGCAATCTTATCATTTAAAATACAGAATTAAATTACAAAAAATTATGTATACAAATTTAAGGATGAAGTATATTTTCCAAACAATATATACCTATTAGGTTGCATATATTGGTCCATGATGGTGGGCCATTCTTATAACAAATTTCACCCCCTATGACACCATTGTAAATAAATATATATGTACATATTATTTCTCCCCATTTATTTTCTCATCTTTCTCTCTCTCACATTCCCTTCTTGACCTCCTCTCTGAACAAGTCTCAAGAGCCTTAGCTACACTCTTCCTCTATTGCCATGAATGAGTATAGGCAAGACAAACCATGTTGTTATTTTCATCCAAAAGAGGTGATTATAGGGGTGTGTCCCTTGTGCTTGAATGAGAAGCTTCTTATCTTGGCTGCAAAACAAGGTCACCGCTCCCAACCTCTTCATCAGAGTCACAGCAGTAATAGTAGTAGTGTCAAACACAGGAAGCTCCCCAAGATTTTTGATTTTGGTTCCCTTCTCAATCGCAAGCAATTTGATAACTCTCATAGTGTTGCTTCCACTAGTCCAGAAGGTAAAGAGTTTTTATTAACTTTGTCTTTCAAGTTCTATCATCTGTGTAGTTTATGCACGCTAACACGTACAGAAAATTGTGGGTGAGAGTGAAGAAAGAGAGAGTCGTGGTAGTGGATAAAGTGATTTTCTTTTTTTTATTGTGACTACTAGACAACATAAATATTAATTTGAGGAAAATATAGTAATATTGTGGGTTTTTCAAGAATCAAAATTGTGTGACAAATTTGTTTATTTCAAGTGAATTGTGTGTTTGATATTATAATATAAATTTGTGTATCGCATGTGAATATGCATTTACACTGTCTTACTTTATATAAATTAGTGATTTAGTACATAAGACTCTCATCGCTTGGAAACCTTTTCTTTTAGTCAAAAAGTCAAAAAGTTACTAAATTAGTCAAAAAGCCAATAACCCATACCAAAAAGTCAAAGATTCTATTTTCTCTTTACTTTTTGCACATCTTTTCGTAAAAAGCCAAAAAGTCATCCTAAACATACTAGTTTTGTTTAGCTCATATTTTAGCTAAATAGCCAAAAAGTTACTAAATTAGCCTGTTCCCAAACGAGTAACACAAAAAGTCTAAGGAAGATATTCAGTATATTTGCAGTCTGTCTTCAATTTTTGGAAATGATTGTTTTTGTGACACGAGGATGTTCTAACAACAAAACATTATCATTGTGCCAAATTGCCTGTTGAATTATTTTCTCTGGTAGTACTCAATATCTGCACAAGAAATAGTGAATACAAAGATTGATGATGAGTTCTTCAATACAAAGAATTAATAATGGTATGAAACGGGAACTCAAGACTTGACTTGGATGCATATTTGAAATCTATCATCATGATATGAGAAAGTTGGGAAATCTTTTGACAAGAATGCCATGAATAGATTCTTCAAAAAGATACAAGAAAAAGTGAGATATATACATATATATTAGTTATATATATGTATTTAATAAAAATTACATTGACATTTTATTGATGTAATCAGCTTGTACTCCTTATGCTTTGATTTGCAACAATAGATTCTTTCTTTTTGTTGATTAAAAAAAAAAAATAGAGTACATAGTAAAAATGTAAGCATATATTGTCATTTTAATTAAGATCACTCATAAATCATGAGAGTACAACATTCCATATATTTAGGAAAACCATGACATATAGAGAGCTACAAATGACAAATCAGACAAGGACAGACCAACAAAAAGGTTGAGACAAAAAAATAAAAAATAAAAAATGGTTCAAAGCTGCGTTTTACTTTTCAACAAAATTTTATGCAGGTTAGTTCAATGACAAATCTAAAGGGGACCCTTGAGGGCCTCTCATTCTGTATCCACTAGATGTGTCTTTAATTTCTAGTCACTTTGCATTTTGTGTTTGTCTAATTAATTACTACTTAAAGTAACTAGGTCTATCTTTACTGTTTATGTTCCATCATCATTTGTATTTGTATAATTCAATTTTTTTTCTTATTGATGCAACACAAGTGAAGTCAAATTAGGGTAGCTTATCTTTAACTGTTATGGGTCCATTATGTGTACTGGATGCTGCTGTCTGTACTTGAAGGTTTCACATTCTAATAATTTAATTTATTTATTTTTAAAAATTCTTGTGGGTAAATCATCTTAAAATAATTAAATTAATTTGATAACCGTAATTACATGATTTCATCCTAGAATGTCTATTTTCAAATAATATTTATCGTCATTTTTTTAAAGACAAATGTGATAAAATTATGTGACTATGATTATTTAATCAATTTGAAATTTTTCATAAATAATCATCACACTAGGCTAAAAAGACAAAATGATATATCTATAATATATGCCACAAATTATTGGCCACTTGTAATTAGATTGACAATCTTGGGGTTTTGGTAGATTCATTTATATCAATCAAGTTTGGAGAGAATGGGGCAGCTTCATGGGAGAAGAGCACAGTGTCCAGGGTCTCTCTAGACCACTGTAACATCTCCTCATGGAACCACAGCTTGAGCAAGGAGAACACCACCAAGAAGAGTGTGAGTGTAGTAGTAGAGCATGCAAAACCACCACAAGGGGGAGAGCTGAGGTGGCGAAAGCGGATTGGGCACCTGTTCCAGCTCAGCAGATGGAAGAGGTCCAGCAAAGCGAGTGTGTGCCACGTGGGCAGCAAGCTGGAGGGTGTGAAGGTGACAAGTGGATGGATAAGGACCCTCACAACAACAAAGAGGACCAAGGAATAAAGAGAAGGTTATATAGAAACAGACACTTCAGCTTTTCTCATTTTTACCATCTCTCTCTCTGTCTCTCTCTCTCTCTCCATTTTGAGTGTTTGTTTGGCTTCAATGTGAAAAATGTAAAGTCATGATACATTATTGATATATGGTAAAGTGAAATCACTTTTAAAATGTGCTTTTGACAAATAGCCAGGCTATGTTAGTAGGTAATTGATTCATTAAAATAACAATAGCACAAAGCTAGTTTAGGTGTTCACACTAGGAAACACATAAAGCCCATAAGTGCCCATGGTTGTCTTCTTTCTTTTTTTCCTTCTTTTTTCACTAGTTAGAGCATTTCAATGGTTGTTGTTATTTTGAGATTGTTATTATTATAATTTGATAATAAATAGTGTTATTTTGTTAAATTATAGCAATGGTACTCCAATGATCATTTGCTATTTTTAACAAATCTCAACCAACTTTCTTTCCAACTTTGTAGGAGTTGTTTGCATATATGTTTTTTGTGATTTTATTTTTATTTATTTTTTGTCTTTTGTGACTTTTTTTTAACAGTTTGTAAAAAAAATTATATATTTATATTATTCCCGACTAGACAAATATAAAAAATGAAAAAAAATTAAAAAATTGGAAAAATAAATAAATAAATAAATTTAATCTTTTTATTGCCTTCATTTGAAAAAATATATTTATTTTCTCATTATACTTTATTGAAAAAATTAAATTATACTAAACTATTTTGCTACATTATACATTGCAAAAATAATATTACATTCTTTTGTAGAAAATGCTCAAAAATAAAAATAAATATGAAATTTCATTACAAAATAAAAATATGAGGACCGCTTGGCGAAAATTTCATTACATTATTCCGTAATTATTCATCAGGAGGCAGGGGGAAATAATAATTTGGGTTGTAACATTTGAGGACCACTTGGCGAAAATCTCATTTTTTCGCATTGTGTAATACACTTTCGTCTGAGGGTCCAAATAAGAAATGTTCGTAGTCATTATCACATGTTCTTCCTTTTTCATCTCATGTTCTTGTCTTCTGATCTCAAAGTCATGTTTTTTCATCTCAAGTTCTTTAATCTCCTGCATTGCTTGAATCCTTTTTTCTTTTCATTCTCAGTAAGGTATTGGTTAAATGTGTTCAATTGTGTGCTCATTTTTTGAACTTCAGCTTGAACGACTTGATTTTTTCGAAATAATTCTTTTGCAGATTTCTTACCCATCGGCCTTTTACCCCTTGCAGAGGCACTGCCCTCACCAACAGTTGGATTGTTACCAACACTTGGACTGTTGTCGTCTTTAAGAGAAATGCAGTTTTTCATATGGGAATCGGGAGCTGAATTAGGGGTAAACACTGCATGCATCCTTGACTTTACCGTATTCGTGGGAGCTACATCTTGCCACCTGATATTGTCTTGCAATATTGGCCAACAATGTTCAAAAGAAAAATGTTTGTTTTCATCTTTGATGGTATAATAGTTTTACTTGAAGCATTTGTTTAAAAAAAATTTAAACATTATTTAATTACGTAGTTTTTATACGATACTAGAATAAGAAACTAAATATAATAACTGAAAATAAAAACTTACTATATCAACTTGAGAAATCCCACTTGGGTGAAGATTTTCGACATGAGCTAAACATCCCCGAAATTTGTTAGAACATTTCATGATAATACCCCATCGAGATTGAATAGACACTTGTGTTCTGGACTGATCATTCTGAAGCAGGCAATAATTTTCGTAAATTCTCCCCCAAAAGTGAGCATACGATTGCGAATTGCCAACAATTGGGTCTTCTGAAATGTGACACCAAGACTTACAAATTGCCATATCTTCTTCAATGGTGAATGATTTTTCTCTCTTTGTTTTTGATGAACCTTCCATAATGATTGGATGAAAAAACTAAAAAGAAAATAATTTAAGAGATTTGCTGTGAAATCAGATTCAAAGAAGAGAGGAGAAAAGAAAAATTAAATGTAAACGTTTGTGTGAAATAAAAGTGGCATGGAGGGTTTCAATTTATAGAAATTAAAAGAGTTGTTGTAAAAAATAGCTGTTTGGCAAATAGCCGTTTAAAAGAGCTGTTGTAAAAAATAATTAATTTTTTTTTAAACAAACCAAACAGAGCCCAAGGCATCACCTTTTATTTTGCCATACAAACCAAACAGAGCCCAACGGCTCTTTATTTTATACATCTAGAACGATCCACTCTCTTCTCACTCTCATTCTCCTCCACGCCTCTTCCTCTCCCTCTCATTCTCACTCTGTCTTCTCTTCCATGGCCGAAATCAAACAGGGCACAAACCAAGATTGGTGCACTCTCATTCTTCGAAATCAAACAGAGCACAAACCAAGATCGGTGCACAAACAGAGCCGAACCCGATCTCCCCCTTCTCCTCCAAGATCGGAACCCCTTCTCTCTGGTTTCACTCTGTCTCCCTCTCAATCCTCACCTCCGATCTATGTACTCTCCGTCTCTGGTAAGATCTCCATCTATATACATACTCATATATATATATATATATATATATATGTTTTGATCTGTCTTTATATATATATGTGTGTGTGTGTGTGTTTTGATCTGTCTTGATCTCCATCTATACGATCTGTCTTCATGTGTTTTGATCATCTATACGATCTGTCTTCATCAATTTTTTTTGATATATATGTTTTGAAATTTTTTGATATATATGTCTTCATCAATTTTTCTATTTTTTATATATATGTATATATATTTTTCATATATATATATATATTTGTCTTCAATTTTTTATATCTATCATGAACAATTTTTTGATTATCTAGTATATAGAAATTTGCATTGATATATATGTTTTGATATCTGAAACTGAAATTTGCTTAATTATGAAAATTGGGTCTTCAACGGTCTGATTTTTGCTTATCTAGCAAGCTTGGCATCTGCCATTTCACTTGCCAAATTTGAGAACACATATGGCATCTGCCATCTTTGGCAAGTGAAATAGCAGATCGTTGGAGACTCATTTTTGCCATTCCTGTCATTTTTTAGCTTTGGCAACCGATATAGCAGAACCATTGGAGATGCTCTTAGGGCCTGTTGGGAAATAGGCTATTTTAGTCTAAAAATTAAAAAATCGCTATAAGTTATCGTATTATTATTTTTATTTTTTATACATTTTTTTTATTATATAGAAAAGGTCAATTAAAATAGTTTATTCTCAAACTAATCTTAAATTTAAAGGAAAAGAGGATCAACTTCAACTATGCCACATGAAATTCAAACTTACAACCTTCATTATAAGGATGGGGTAATGTCTATTGGCCAAATAAGTTTTGGTTGTCTTCTAGTTGTCTAGGTGCAGAGGTGATTTAACCATTAGGTCACTTGAAATGTTGCTTAAGGTTCATAAAAAAAAATTAAAAAATTCTTATTGTCAAAAGCCCCAACTTTTCAAGGATTTAGTTAGATGAAATCTCATTTTAATGTTTAGCTTAAGACATTCAAAAATCTTGAGCCACCACTATCTAGGTGGAGAATATCTTGATCTTTTGTGTTCGCCACTAAGGCCTCATTTGGTTGATGTTTTTAAGGAGATTTTTTTTTTCCATAAATATATATATATATATATATATATATTTTATTCTAATTTTAATATAAATATATTTTACATCACAATTAATCCTATAAATTTAATTATTTGTTGTAATTCCTAACTTTTTAATCTAATTTTAATTTAATTATATTAAAATCACAATTGATCATAAATTCTTAATTATTTATTGTAATTTCTAACATGCTAATTTAATTTAAGGGACATTTAAACATAAGTCCTAATTTATACTCTATTAAATCCTAACTAAGATTTTTTGAACTTTAAAGTCTCATTAAAATTTTAATAGTCGGAATTGCCTTTCAAATAATGATTATTTATCATTTATAATTATCTATAAAAGAACATGATGATTTGACATTCAACTTGGTTATTTTCAAAAATTTTAAAATATCAACTTTCAAATTGAAAAAATTAAAAAAATATTATGTGCAAAATTTTTTTTTTGAAAAAATTTAAAAAATTGAATTATTTTTTTGTGCAAAACTAAAATTTTTGTATCTATAAAGGAGCATGATGATGGAACCTTGATGTGCAAAACTAAAAAATAAACTTTAAAAATAAAAAAATTGATAATATTCTCAGTTTTAAAACTGATTTTTTTTTTAATATTCTCGATTTTATTGGATAGTTGAATCAAACCAATAAGTAAAATAGTAAAAACCTTTAATCTCATGCTCTATTTTTTTCATCAATTAATGAAATAATTATATGGAACATTACTATGCAAAATTGATAACGTTCTTAATTTAAACAATTGGGAAAAATTGATAACATTCTCAGTTTTACTAAATAGAATTTATTGGTTCAGAAAATCTTAAATAGGACCTAAGCTACCATGACATTTGTAAATAGGACTTTTAGACAATTAACTCTTAATTTAATTTTAATTATATTTTAGATCAATTCTTAATTATTATTTATTTAATTATATTTCAAATAAATCATTAATTATATCTTATATTTAGATAAATCCTTAATTTTATTTTAATTAACAAATTAATCTAATTTTAGATTTGGAGAAAATAAGGATAAAATTGTCTTTTATTGTATTAATTTTACTTTATTTTTTCAAAAAACCAAAGCCACTCTAATTTTAGATTAACTCTTAATTTTTTGAAAATCATTTTATTAATTATCTATTTCATTAATTTTTTCACAATGTATGTGATTATAGACACCTCATTTTGATCGGTCCTAAGACTTAGGCGCTTTCCTTTGATTACGTGATGATGAAAACAAGAATGAGTTTATCACAAAATCCTTAGTAAAAAACAATGTAATTTGAGTTTTACTCTCTACCCTAAGCCTATTTTGACAAAGTGTTTAAGACTCGTCGGGCACTGGAGCGAAGCTGGACTGAACCAAAGAAAAACGACCAACTTCTTCTCTTGCCGGTCGATTGCCCCCAAACAGTGCAGTCTAGATTTTTTTTCTAGTTCATGTGGGCATTCCATTATCCTATTTTCTGATATATTCATGTACTAAATGCATGTATACTCATCCTCCATTGCCTAGTGCTTAATCCATTGAAGGTAATGCTTCACTTTTGTCTTCCATTAGCTCCATCAATGCTTAAATAGTGCTTCATTTGCTCCATTATCTTCATTAATGCTCCATTCTTGTCGTCCACCATTTCTCCACTTGCATTGCCTATATGTATACATTAAATTGTTGAGAGGAGAAGAGAGAGAGAGGAAGGGGGGATTGATGAAGAAGGACTAGATTGATAGGGAGAGTCTAAGCTTTGATCAA